ACCTGTGGGGTAAATCGATCTGGTCAGCCGCTGCAGACCGGAGTCTGCTCCATGATGTAAACAGCACGCTGCTGACTGACAGCTGTCAATCATTACAGGTTCGCAACCACTGCATAACTTAACAACCAACATACACACACATGCATGGTGTTCATGGTCACTAAGGTCAAAATTCTCAGTACGAGTTTAACTGCAGGAACATAATCAGCCCAAAAAGATCTGCTGTCAGAGTCTCATTTATAAAGCTACATCATGTTAGCCTCTAGCAGCGGAAACCACATGATCAGGACTATTGGAGATACCGAACCCCACACAGTGTGAGGAGAGTGATGATTTCGTCGTTGATGCTAATCAGTGAGGTTTGAGCTCCCATTAATATGAAGAGTTCATTTATAAAAACGATGAACTCCCTCCTGTAAAACTGAGCTGACTGTTATTAACTCTCCGCTCTGAACCCTGAACACGTTTAGTCACTACAGCTGTTACTGTTCATCACAAGATCACGTTTTGTAGCAGAAACGGTCAAACGCCAGTGCGGTTCTCCAGCAGAACCCCATAAATCCGTTCAGCCAATCAACGCGCAGTATTGGTGTCAGGTGACGCAGCACTGCCACCAACCGTTTGAGGCAGAATCTCGAACGGCTCCTTCTCCTACACAGAGCAGCAGGTCTTAAACTAACAGCTACTGATCTAAACAGAGCTCAGAGTCTCACAGAGACCCACTCTGGATTCAGCCACGAGAGACGATTCATACACAAAGACCAATATTTGGGTGGAAAAGACTGAATTTCATAACTCACAATGACTCTATAGGGAGCAGTGAGGCGTCTGAGACTCAGCCTGAGGATTTTCAGAGCTCTGATCTTATAGATGATTAATATTGATCATTAACGGCTGTTTGCTGCTTGACTCTTGGTAAAGATGTGAAATATTGACCTTAAAGAAACTTGTGACCATTAAACGGCCTTAACTGTGAACATGAAATGACCAGTGAAGTTACCTGCTTTTGACAAAAACCAGAAATAAAATGTTTTTAAAGTCTAACTGAACCACCTGTGTTCTTTCTCTCTTCTGTGCATGTGCAGCGTTTGAGGCGGCGAGTGCGTGTCTCTGTTTTTTGGCCGGACTGAGCCGGTTCTCACAGCGTTTCTCTGGAGGATCCAGAACCACTCCGGACCCGACTGAGCCCAGAGACGCCGCCGTGCCAACAGACTCGTTCTTCGTCTTTATAGGAACATGAGCGGAGATTCTCTCCTTGTCTTTGAGAACAGCTGTATATCCATCTTATTTCTCTATTATTTATGAGTTATTACACTTGAGAGTATAATTAATGAGTAATAACATCGTTAAGGGGCGCTGAGTGACTCCACTCGGGTCTGTAGAGGTCCAGGTTGGTGCTGATGAGCCGCTCGGCCGGGCGTTTCTGTAGTGAAGGACAGCAGCGTCTCTCCGGTTCCAGGTTTGATTAAACAGAACATATTTATGCCTGAATTAATTTACCACATCACCTGCAGCTGCCAGAGGTGTTTATTTTCATACAGATAGCTGGAATAAATATTCATATATTTTTATTTCACTGTCGTTCGTTACTGCCGTATGTATTTATTCATGAACTGCCTGTTTTATTCACTGAGGAACGGATTCATTACAGCGCTCTGATTCACAGGTGTGATATAGAGGGTCACCGTACGAACGGCCAGCGAATAATAATAACTGAAACATTGTGATGATGCAAATCAGCCTCTCTATGCCACATCCATAAAAACCCATCAGAGAAAACCGAAATCAGAGAAATGGACGCTGAGCAGCTGCTCTGCTGCTGATTTCTGGACTGTATTCAACATAACAGACCAGCTGCAGCAGCTTCTGTCTGTTTACCCTCAACGTCACTGTTACGGGCTTCATCTCCGATAAGATAAAGATACAGTCTTGTGCAAAAGTATGTGCTCCCCTGGTCAAACTCCATGTTGTTATAGATTTTTGAGTGTAAATCAGTTACACATCATCTACAAAGACGCAGTTCCACACACTTTAATACACACTGTCTGTTTACATGCAAAGATCTTCTCCAATCTGATTAAATTCATTCCGATTACAGATTCAGACCGAGGTGTTTATCTCACTCTACTCAAGAATCTGACGAAAATCTCCGTTTACATGCCCACTACAAGTAATCAGATCCAAATTTACACGCATACGTAGAGAACAGCTTAGTGTTGATGTTACCATGACAACCAGCATCACCTCAGTCCAGTCAGGGTGAGATGAGCAGCAGTGAGCAGTGCTTGTGTTTTTAATTGCTTTAAAATGATGTCAGACTCAGGAAAACGTCCTTCACACGTCCTTATTAAAGAAGGCCGAGAGGAAGACGTCGTGTTCTGAGACACATAAGCTGGACGTCCGTCCCACCGCCGTCTTTTAAAGACCAGAGCATAAACTTCGTCTCCTCTGCAGACCAGTTTCTGCTCCCGCCCTGAATGTGTTAAATTCAGTAAATAAACAGTAATTGTGCTGTAAAAGGTACTGTGGTGTCTCTGTAGAGGATGTGTACTTATTCACACTGTCAGGAAAAGACAGATACTGACTTTCACGCTTGAACCACATGGGGGCGCAACCGCCTCATTTAAATGGTGGTGTTTTGAACGGTGAGTGTTGGACTCCCCTCACTCGCTCTCCTCTTTTTGTGGGCTTCGTTTTTGCTCATGTTTTGATTCTTACTGGACGCACTTTACATCAGCCTGTAAAACCTGAATGCTGTTGTGAACACGGTGAGCTGGTTGACCACAGGCTCATGATGTGAACTGGCCCAACCCTTTCCAGGTGATTCAGAGACTCGGGCTGCAGGTGTTCTGGCCTGTCGGTGGGGTTTCCTGCTATATTTATACACGTAGATTAGAACCTAGATGGCCTGTTGTTTGTTGGTGTCAGTGGTTCCTCGTCTTGTAGCGACACTTCCAACCATCAAAACGTGGAAGTTTACTGGGGCGCCCAAACTTTTGCACACGGCTATCAGTCCACTGTACCCCGCTGCCTTCTGCCATGGTTTGTAGCTGCGGCCGCAATAACAGAAATACTTATATCATTGTGATTTTATTCACATTTGAATTATTCAGATAATGAGTTTTGTTATTGTTTATGGAGAAACAAAAACATTGTATCCAGTCCAGGAAGTGTGAACTTTGCAGTTTTGCTGGATTCGAGATGTTTCCATCAAATATTTCCGTATAAGAAACATGGGTGTGAATTAGGGCTGCACCATACGGACCAACACTCACATTGTGATTATAGTACACACTTAAAGATGGTTCTTCAAGGGTTCTTTAGTAAAGACAGTGGTTCTATAGAACCATGAACACTCAAAGAACCCTTTGCATGATTAAATGGTTCCTGGCATGGTGAAATGGTTCTTCTGACTGATTCCATATGGAAACTTTCTGAAAATGGTTCTGTACAGCACCAGAAAGTGTTCTTGTACTGTTACAAGCTTGACACCGTACCAACACCAGAACCCTATTTGGTGCTATATGGAACCATATACAACATTCTCCATCAATCTGAAGAACCATTTCACCATGCAGAGTGTTCATGGTTCTGTACTGAACATCTTTTCAAAGTGTGTATATTATTTTAATCAAAATAATATCCTGTTGTTGGATTACATGAACACGAACATCTGGATCTGTGACACAGCGACACTGACTGGTTAGAAGGCTCCTTATTTCACACTGGAGTGTAGTTGATATCGCAGTGCATGCAGCCCTGATATGACTGTGTGTGTTTGCGTGTCTGAGTTTGCACATTTGAACTGTAACCACTGCAGTTCACTCACATTATGACTGTTTATGAAATGTAAAGCCTGCTTACAGTAGGAGCTGCGCAACTTAGGAGTGAAACGCTGCTCCTGTGTGTTTTATTATGTATAAAATATTTATTTATATGACAATAATATGCACTTTAATGATCTCTTTATTGAATGATCATGTATTAAACTATGTATCACGGTTTGTCTCCTGCTGTGTTTATAGTTGATGAATCCTGTTTCAGACACTGAGCCCAGTCTAGTTTACAGTATCTTCAGAGTTTATGAGTCCAAACTGCTGAGTTTACTTCTCAAAGCCATGAACGTTCAGATGGTCAGAGATCTGCCTCTGACATGCTGCTCCGCCCCCTTCGCCCCGCCCCACCTCAACCAGCTTTAATGAGTCTGATCAGCCAATCAGTGGCTTCTGAAGTGAATTACCTGGAGCAGGTGTGTCAGCCTGAGGTTGGAGACTCTGCAGTAGGTGAATCTTCAGGAGCTGGTGTCTGTGGTATTAAGCCCTATTCAGCCGGGGTTGGTTTTCCATGAGGAGGTGGGTGATGTAAGTATTACCGCTGTTTCTCTGTGATTTTAGTCCCGTCTGAATGCACCAGTCATTTTTACCAACTTTACCAAGATTCCGGCGCCTTTTACCTTCAATAAAATGAGCCAAAAATAACTTCAGGTTATACTGATCCTGCATGAATCAACCCGTCAGTAAAACACCATCCTATCCTGTGGGAAAGGAGTTTCTTGAGTTTGGAAGCTGAAGAAGTGTTTACTCCTGTTCTCTGATGAAGCCGAGGTCAACAGGGCCTTAGTCTGACTCTCACTTGGCTCTCTGACTGCTACAGTGCACTATGGAGGTCATGAAATAATGCAGTTAGCACCCAAAAAGCGCATCTGTCTCCTATAAAGACTCAGGTTAATGTCACGTTTTCAGAATTGAGGACTGTTAAGTCTGTTGTTTGTCACAAAACCCGACATTTTCACTTTTCTCTGGAGCCACACTGTTGGCTAGCTAGCCTAAGCTAACTGCCTACCTAGCTAAGCCAGCTATGCTGACCAGCAACAACGGCCACACCTATATTAAACATTATTGATCAGTGTTATTAATAACCGTGTTGGTCTGCCCGAGTTAGTGGGATAAGCGCAGTGATTGGCTATGACCCCTTTGTTGGTTAGGAGTGAGATGGTGAGGGTAAATAGGTTTATCTGGATATTTATGTTATTAAATTATCAGGATATTAATGTTTAGTAGTGTCGCATCCCACATTTATTTTGTTTGGGACGTTACTCTTTAAAAACTACCCACTGAGACATTAACAGTCCATATTATTGGCCAGATTAAGTACATAAAACGAATATGCAGTGGAGCAAAGCAATGTCAGTTAATCTGTATACCTTCATTTAGGTGAATACACCACTGTTACGCTAACTTACTCTTTTATTGATCAGATATCAAAGCTTTAAATTTAACTTAAAAATTAAAAACCAAGACTTAAACCCTTTTATAGCATTTCTGGTCTTACCTGTTTCATTCAGTACCTCTCACTGTAAAGGTAAACACAAAGAGGATACGCTGCTAACGCCAGCTCGCCCACACTGGGTTAGCTGGTTAGCATTAAGCCAGATTTACACAGAATTAAACAAACATTTCCTTTCAACCACTTTATTCATATTTCTGACCAGCACTGCCCACAAAATGCAACCTGAACTCAATAACATTGCAGAATAAGGTCACCTGAACCTCCTCACTGTGTGCTGAGTTAGCCAGTTCACTAACTACAGCTCACTAACAGTCCAGTCCGCTGACCAGCGCCTCTCAGCCCTGACTGTTAGCGCAATGCACCATGGGTAAGCAGGTCCAGCAGGTGCATTTAGCATCTCCCAAACTTACCAGAGGCAGAAAAGGAGTCCAGATTTAAACTCAGCTTTGTTGTGTTGCCCTGTTTAGCTAGTCGTGTAGCCGTTAGCTCGCTAACTAACCAGCTAGCAGTGTAAAGCAGTTAGTAACAGGTGGAGAAGGTTATTATGACTGATAAAGCCCAGTTTAACCGTAGCAAATGAAATATCATAGTTTCTTAAATACTGAGTAATTTCTAAATAACTTATTTTCCATGTTTGAGCAGGGAACTGCGCATCACATGCTTTCTGGTTAAGTGCTGCTGAATTTCACATGCCCTCTGTGTTCTCTCTGTCATACAGTGATGTCATGTTTTTCATGTTCCAGTCGAATATCAAGTCTTTTTAACTTCACTTCAGCTGTAATTTTGCACCAAATGTACAGAGATGCTGTAGTAAAATAACACGCACACATCTGTTTACTAAAAACTTAGACTGCGTCATTTTATTTAAAGATAAAACAAAAACTTTTTAGGACTTTTCATTTGTAAAATGGTCCCCCCCCCCAAAAGGGAAATAAGGGGGGCGTGTTAAACAGAATACTGGAACAGGAGCTGGGATGTTCTGTGTCTGTGATGAGCGTGAGCGCCCCCTGGTGTCCTGCTCAGCCCTGGCACATCATCAGTGTATCGGCTTTGTTGTTGATCTCGTTTATCAGGTCCTGCAGTTTAGCGTCCAGACCGGCCAGACGCTCCGAGTTTTCCAGAAGCTCCTCTGTCGCGTTCTGCAGGGAGCGCTCTTTATCTGAGAGAGGGAGACAGAGAAAGAGAGATAGACAGAGAGAGAGAGAGATTAATGATAGGTTTTCAGCATTGCTGCGTGTAAAATGTGCTCTACATTACAGTGTAAACAGTGAAGAGTGGACATTAAGTGGACATTAATGTGTTTAAGTGTATGTTTGTTGCACAGCCTGTAACGCACAGCATCTCCTGCTCTTTTTGAACCTGCACTAAACAGCAGGGGGCGCTCTGATGTAACTGTCCACCCTGACCCAAGTACCTGAGAGTTTCTGCATCATGTCCAGAGTCTCCTGGACAAGCGCTGTGGCGTCCTGCTGTAGTGCCTGTAGCCGCTCGTCTGCAGCGTTAGCCTCGCTGCTGGCGTTAGCTTTCTGCTTCAGCTTCTCCAGCTGCTCCTGCAGAGCCTCCAGCTCCTACACACACACACACACACACACACACACAGCGTTACTAACACACAACTCCACCTCCACAGTGATAACAGACCAGTAAAGGCCATGTTGAGGTCAGTCTGTCGTACCGTGGCTGC